TCGAGCTGGCTAGCTTGACTCCTACTCCTATCCTTATTCCTTATTAGAATATACTCCTACTCCCCCCTCAGGCCGGCCATAGGGGCCGCATCCGGGTGGTCCCATCCTAACCTGTAAAAAACAATACAAAATCAACATTTTTCTTATTTTTTCCTCTCGACATGGACGTCCTGTCGTCCACGGCGATAATCCATTGCAAAAAATACCACAAAGAGCACACGCGCGCGTTCATGTCAGAATCCTACCGAACACCGTGTGTTTGCAAGCATTTCAACATAAAAACATCAAAAACCCAATGCTTTTTCACAAAAATTGTACAAATTTCCCGCCCGGGCTCTCTTGCTGAAATCATAGGAAAACCATAGGAATCTTAAGAATTCTGTCAAATCCAGCGATTTCACGTCATCGCGCGGTGCACTCGCGATGCTCTGTCATGCACCCAGGCCGCGAATCCTGTGCAAAAAATACCACAAAGAGCACACTCGCGCGTTCATGTCAGAATCCTACCGAACACCGTGTGTTTGCAAGCATTTCAACATAAAAACATCAAAAACCCAATGCTTTTTCACAAAAATGCTTTGGGGTGTCCTGTCAGACCGTCGGGCTTCCTCCGGCCACCTCTGGCTTCCTGCGGTGTACCGGGCCATTCTCGACTCGTCTGGCAATGCGTGCGCGGCATTCAACACGCGCTCGCCAGTTCCCGTCGGCAACCGCCATCGCGGCCGCATCAGCTGTACCAAACCGGCTGGCCGGTGTGACTTCGGCCCCCAGTTGTGCCAGCTTTGCTTCTTATGTTGTGGGAGGGCGGGTGGGACTGGGCATGCCATGCTTGACTCGCTCGAGCTGGCTAGCTTGACTCCTACTCCTACTCTACTACTACCTACTCCTACTCCTACTCTACTACTACTCCTACTCCTACTACTACTACTACTCCTACTACTACTACTACTACTACTACTACTACTACTACTACTACTACTACTACTACTACACTCTACTACTACTACTACTACTACTACTACTACTACTACTACTACTACTACTACTACTACTACTACTACTACTACTACTACTTCTACTTCTACTACCACTACGCGCCAGCACCCAATTGCGCCAACATTGTTTCTTATGTTGTGGGAGGGCGGAACGTGTCCGGTGTTCCCTTCAACATGGCCAGTCTTGTCGTCGACGTTGCGAAATTCGTGGCGGGAATGGGACGCGGCGCGCATCCCGCGCGGGCGTCAATGCGGTGTCCTGGGGTATCCTCCACTCGCACTGAAATACCCGCGCAGCCCCCAGTTGTGCCATCACTGTTTGTTATGTTGTGGGAGGGCGGGTGGGAATGGGCATGCCATGCTTGACTCGCTCGAGCTGGCTAGCTTGACCCCTACCCCTACCTCTACCCCTACCCCTTATCCTTGTTCCTTATTATTATATACCCCCACCTACGTCGTATTCCGGCCGATAGCGACCCAATCCGGGACCCCCCATCCGGATTTTAAAAGATCAATGCAAAGTGGCCGTTTTTCTTTTCAACATCGTCTGTCTTGTCGTCGACGATGCGAAAAACGTGGCAGGAATGGGACGCGGCGCGCATCGCGCGCGGCAGTCGATCTGGGCCCGCCAATCCTGACTGGAAAAAATCAATACGAAGTCTTCGTTTTTTCATCTCAGCATGGCCTGCCTTGTCGCCGACGGTGCGAAATATGTGGCAGCAGTGGGACGCGGCGCACATAGGGGACGCGGCGCACATCGCGCGCGGCCGTCAATGTGGGCCCGCCCATCCTGACTGTAAAAAATCAATACAAAGTCTCAGTTTTTTCCTCTCAGCGTGGTGTGCCTTGTCGCCGACGGTGCGAAATATGTGGCAGGAAAGGGACGCGGCGCGCATCGCGCGCGGACGTCCATGCGGGCTGCGGGCCCTCCCATCCTGACTGTTTAAAAACACAATACAGAGTTGCCGTTTGTCCTTTATGGCCTGTCTTGTCGTCGACGACGCGAAATGCGTGGCAGGAATGGGGCGCGGCGCACATCGCGCGCGGACTTCTGGGGCAACCCCAAGGCGGGAGGGGCCACCTTACTTGTCAGAAACAATGCCATGCTGATTTTCGCTTGCCCACATAGCTGTTCTTGTCGTCCACCCCGCAAAAGTGCATGGCAAGAATTGGGCGCGGCCCCCCCCCCCGCTCGAAGTGAATGAAAGGACCTTCTCGCTTGGGCGCCGAGCGAATTTTTCTCAACGTTGCGCTCCCGTTTTGGCTCGGCGCACGTTTTTAGCTCGCCAATTCATTGGGCGCCAAGGCGTTCCAGGAGGCCCTGGGGTGGCGAATGCCTGGGAGGTTTTTGCTTGTTCAGGCTCTTGGAGGGCCTCCTGAGTCTCCCCGCGGTTTCTTGGCGCTACGGCCGTCTGGAGGCCATCTTGGGCGTCTTGGAACGATCTTTCGGCGACTCATGGCTACTACTACTACTACTACTACTACTACTACTACTACTACTACTACTACTACTACTACTACTACTACTACTACTACTACTACTACTACTACTACTACTACTACTACTACTACTACTACTACTACTACTACTACTACTACTACTACTACTACTACTACTACTACTACTACTACTACTACTACTACTACTATACTACTACTACTACTACTACACTACTACTACTACTACTACTACTACTACTACTACTACTACTACTACTACTACTACTACTACTACTACTACTACTACTACTACTACTACTACTACTACTACTACTACTACTACTACTACTACTACTACTACTACTACTACTACTACTACTACTACTACTACTACTACTACTACCTACTACCTACTACCTACTACCTACTACCTACTACCTACTACCTACTACCTACTACCTACTACCTACTACCTACTACCTACTACTACTACTACTACTACTACTACTGCTACTACTACTACTACTACCACCACTATTACTTCTACTACTACTGCTACTACTACTACTACTGCTGCTGCTGCTGCTGCTGCTGCTACTACTACGACTACTACCACTACGCGCCAACACCCAGTTGCGCCAACATTGTTTCTAATGTTGTGGGAGGGCGGACCGTGTCCGTTGTTCCTTTCAACATGGCCAGTCTTGTCGTCGACGTTGCGAAATTCGTGGCTGGAATGGGACGCGGCGCACATCCCGCGCGGACGTCAATGCGGTGTCCTGTGGTATCCTCCACTCGCACTGAAATGCCCGCGCAACCCCCAATTGTGCCATCACTGTTTCTTATGTTGTGGGAGGGCGGGTGGGAACGGGCATGCCATGCTTGACTCGCTCGAGCTGGCTAGCTTGACCCCACCCCTACCCCTACCCGCTATCACATCCATCTGATGCTCCTCCTTCTCCCCTTTCTCCCCTCACTCCTTCTCCGAACTGGCCAAAGTCCCCTCAGGACCTCTCTTCGCGGCCCCCAGATCCCCTAGACGGCTCCAACACCTTCAACAGGCCCCTTAGAGGCCCCCGAGGGGCCGCCCAAAGGCCACCAATACCCCCCCGAGAAGGTGCCGAGAAGGCTCCAATATCCATGGACGACCCTAAATTATCCTGGCGAAGGACCCAACCATATGCAGTTGCGAGTACCGTCGTTGTGAGTATCGCCTTCGGTGGGGCTCCCTATGGGGCCATGACACGTCTACGGGGTGCGCCGAAATGGGTTGGGCGGCCTCCTGTGGACACCGCCACTGGGGCCTGCGGTGGAGCTACCCTGGGGCCACGAAGCGTGTGGGGTGTGTGCCGACATGGGTGGGAGGCCGCACGTGGACTGGTGGAGCTACCCGTGGGCCCACGAAAAGTGTGAAGGGTGTGCCACAATGGGTGGGGCGGCCGCACGTGGACGTCGCTACTGGGGCTCTGGTGGAGCTCCCTATGGGGCCACGGTGCGTGTAGAAGGGAATGTCGAAGTGGGTGGGGCGACCGCATGTGGGCACCGCCGCTGGGGCCTTCGGTGGAGCTTCCAATTGGGCCACGAAGCGTGTGACGGGTGTGCCACAGTGGGTGGGGCGGCAGCACGTGGACACCGCCACTGGAGCCTTCGGTGGAGCTCCCTCTGGGGCCACACAACGTATGAGGGGTGTGTCGACATGGGTGGGGCGGCTGCGTGTGGACATGGCAACTGGGGCCTTCGGTGGAGCTTCGTATGGGGCCACGAAGCGTGTGAAACGTGTGCCGAAATGGGTGGGGCGACCGCATGTGGACATGGCCACTGAGGCCTTCGGTGGAGCTCCCTAGGGGGCCACACAACGTGTGAGGGGTGTGTCGACATGGGTGGGGCGGCCGCATGTGGACATGGCAACTGGGGCCTTCGGTGGAGCTCCCTGTTGGGCCACGAAACGTGTGAGGGGTGTGCGGACATGGGTGGGGCGCCGCATGTGGGCGTGGCCACTGGGGCCTTCGGTGGAGCTCCTCCCTATGGGGTGTGCCGACATGGGTGGGGCGACCGCATGTGAACGTGGCCACTGGGGCCTTTGGTGGAGCCGCCCCAAGGGCCACCCCAAGTGTGAAGGGTGTGCCACAATGGGTGGGGCGCCCGCATGTGGACACCGCCACTAGGGCCTTCGGTGGAGCTCCCTATGGGGCCACGAAGCGTGAGAGGGGTGTGTCGAGATTAGTAGGGCGGCCGCATGTGGACGTGGCCACTGGGGCCTTTGGTGGAGCTCCCTATGGGGTCACGAAGCGTGTTAGGTGTGTGCCGAAATGGGCATGTGTAGGGCAGAGGCAGGTGTGGGATGCGAGAGGAGGGGGAGGAGGAGGAGGAGGGGAGAGGAGGAGGAGGAGGAGGAGGAGGAAGGACGCGGAGCGCTGCCTTCAAAACGAAGATCCAACACCACAAGGTGGTTGGGGAAACATGTCATCCCAGAAAGTTGCATGTTTTGCTTGCGCCAACTTCCGCAGACCCTCCGCGCGGAGCAACCCTCGTTCCATTTCCGCCGGCTTCCGCCAGCACTTCCGCCGAAAACGAGAGGCCAGGTTCTGGATCAGTCGAAGACGGAGGCCCTCCGTGGAGAGCTCCACGCAGCGCCACGGGCCATGCCACGCTGCGGCGTTGCTGCGCAACTTGCAAGGCAGTCTGCGTTGCAGGCAGCAAGCAGGGGCGGCCACAACGGCCAAGGCAACTACGAAGGCCACCGCAGGGGCCATGCCGGCCAAAGCGGCCAGGAGGGCATCGGCGCCATGTGGTGGGGCAACGGTCAACGGAAACCAGAGTGCGGTGCCCGCCCCCCTTTTGTTTGCTTTGACGGTCGACAGCATCTCCCGTACGTCAGTCGTCCGGTCCTACAGAGCTGCCGTGCGCATCAAGCCTCCTTAAGAAAAACACGCGGCCCAAATCCTTAGAACCAGAATTGGCCCACACGTATTCAAACTCGCCTACGGTCTGTCTTTCCGTGGACTTCCTCCGCACAGGGGGTGTCACAATCATGGTGCCCACCTGGACAGCAGCGAGACGGTCTGCCAATTTCTGCGTGGCTCGCCTATGTACAATACAGAACACCTTGACCGCGACGCGTCTACCAAGGCAGCGTGGCATCGCTCACTCGGCTGGCTGATGTCGCGTATCGGTCGATCTCCATCAAGAGGTCCCCCGCCTCAACGCTCTGCCCGCTAGGCCACGTCGCCCTGCGGGTACGACTTTCCCATGGTGCTCGGCGGCGACGTGAAAGCGGTGCTCTCTTCGTCACGGGCCTTGGGGAACAGGTAGAAGACCGTGCCCAAGAACCATAGCACCATCCACAACTTGCCGAGCAAGGCGGAGAACATAAATAGGTATTCGATGTGTCTTCCCGCCATCCGGTTGATCTCGGTGTACTCGCTGATGTTTCCATACCCGCCGGAGCTCATGAAATTGAAGAAGTGAGCCTGGTAGAAAGAACCGAAAGAATACCTCTCGATATCCTGGCACAACGCCTCCCTGGACGGCTCGTCCCGGCAACTTACGCCCTCCACCGCGCAGTCCTCTGGGCAGCCCGGCATCGACATCGACGCGAGGATGATGATCGGCAGCAGGCAGCAGAGCATCATGGAGAGGCACAGGCACAAGGAGCTGCCCGCGGCCATCATCGGGGACATCGAGGCACTTCCCATGGCTCGCGAGAGGGCTAGAGCCAAAGCCCTGGCACGATCGCGGCTCTGAACTCACTGGCCTGAGCCCAAATGGCTACCGTGCGGCGCCCAGCTCCCTCTACATGACCGAAAAGGGCTCCGAGGGCTCGCCCAACGGGCTCTACATGATCGAATCGGGCCGACGCGAGACCAGCAAGCCGAATCAGACTGCGGCAAACAATCCTGCGAACTGATATGCGCTTCTCCTGGGCTACGCGATCCGGTCATCGATTCGCTTGTTCTTTAGCTGCTGCCCTGCGTCCCGTGACGCCTCCTGTAATCAATCCGCCGGCGGCACAAAATATCCTTCCGCGTCCCTCCGTCCTGTGGACTGGGGGATCTCAGGACCCCCCCTCCCCCCCTCTGTGGAAGAGGAAAACAAGGGCAGCTCCCCCTGTTCCACCATGTGGACCCCCTGTGGACAGGGGACAGGGGGACCCCCCCCTCCTGGACCCCTCCTGGGAGGCACCCTCCTCACTCTTATCTGCTGTTGCGGGGCACTGCGTATTTTCCTACATGCCTCCGCAGGGCCTCAGATCCGCCCAAGGCGGCTCCAAGTGACCACGGAGCTTCCCACGAAGTTCCCCAACAGGCCCCCCAACAGGGCCCAAGAGGCTCCCACGAAGGGCTCCAGAGCCTCAGCGTCGTCGTCGTCGTCGTCGTCGTCGTCGTCGTCGTCGTCGTCGTCGTCGTCGTCGTCCCCCTTCAGGGTCGGCGGCATCGGCCGTACGGCCTTCGTAATATACTTCCGCGTCCCTCCGTGCGATGGGCTGCGGCAGTATCGATTGATAACAAGAGAATTCGTGAGCTGGCTAGTCTACAAAACAGTCTCGACACATCAAACGAAACTATCTGGTGGCTCAAGCAATCTTCTCCTCTCGTCTTGCGCAAACATCGACGGAGAAGACATTTGAATGCACAGGTTGGCCAATCCGTCTGGCTTTATCTGAATTTCTGGAGGGCGAATTCCTGAACGTTCCCGCTTGGCTCCCAACTGCGAGGTCGGCCGTTGTGACCGCAACAAGAACTGCTGTGGCGACTCTCCCCGGAAAGCTCTTGTCTTGCAGGCCGACCCTCTCCCAAGGCAGACATGAGATGTCTCTGAGCGGGACACACAGGGCCATTACTTGAAGGCCTGCGAGAGATTCAAACAGCTTTCGTCGGCCTGTCCCAGGGCATCGGCCAAATTTGATCGGCGCGCAACGAAGTCTTTGAGGACCTCGAGTCCTCGCAAGCGAGGGCCTTTTTGATAAATCATGAAGTTGGCACGCCCGAGAAAATTGTAGCCGTTGGTCGAAACGTTCTCCATGCTGCGTGGTCTCCTGTCCGATCTGGCAACGTCCTGGTTCGCAGCGTCCTTGGTGTCCAGGCCACGCGGGTTCTCCTCGCCGCCCCTTCCCCCACACCCGGGACCGCATATACTACGCGTCCAGCCGCAACGCCTCTTCTCACCCCGCCCGCACTGTCACCAACGGCCCCCCTTCTCGACCTGGAGGTTGGCGCCGGCCCGCAGAATCGGTACTCATTCGTGCAAGGACGAACTCCAAATGTCCTCAGCGCACCCCTGACACCTTGAGACCCTTCTGCGGAAACCTTTGGCGTCGTCGTTCTTCTGCTGGTCATCGCCTTGCTCCTCCTTCTCCTCTTCCTCCTCTTAATACACAGTCCTCATTTTGTTGTCTTCCTCCTCCTCCTCCTCCTCCTCCTACTCCTCTTCTCTCTCGCCTTCTCATCCACCTCTCGCTTCCTCTTCCCCTCTCTCCTCCTCCTCCTCCTCCTCCTTCTTCTTTTCGTCAACGTCATCATCTTCCTGCTCCTTCTCCTCCTCCTCCTTCTGCGCCTCTTTCATCCGCTCCACCACTTCCTCCTCCTCAGCCCGTTGTCCTCTTGCTGCTGCTGCTCCTGCTTCCTCCCCGGCGACAGCCACGCTCTCAAGCCACACTGCCATATAGAGGAAGAAGAAGAAGCATTGCACACACATGCACTTTCGGAGGTCCATGCGGATTTCTGTGACCAGCGCTGGACCCCGCTCCCTGGCGCGCGAAGCACGCCAACGGCTTCGCTGCAAGCGACGCCAGAGGGGTTCAGCGACGAGTTCAGAAATCCGTGCCCTTCTCCGAGCATATCTGCTCATTGTTGATTATGTATATGCGGTGCTAACATGCAAGCTAAAACATCGCACGGCGAAATCCTTTCCGGCGTGCCAGTGGGCGCTGCTGTGCCGGGCAGTGCGAGGGTCGCACCCTCGCGTGCGCGCGGCCTGCCTGCGCCTGGCGCGTTCCAGCGGGGAATGCCCGATCTTGCTGAGCATACCGACACCATCTTTTTTTACTCATGTCGCACCTTCGAGGGACCTTGTCTGTCCCATCGCGTCTTTACTATCGTCAAGTCCACGTCGAATTTTCGAACCCAAGTCGAGTCGGCGTGAAATCCACGTCGAATGCGCGTCGAGTCAACGTCGACCCCACGGCGGATACGAGAAAAGGCTACAATTCATTGGAAAGGAAAGATCACCCGAATATGCAAGGTACCTTTACGACTCTCGGCACCCATGGGCCCGCAAGTTGGTGCCGAAATGCTACCTCGCGACGTGGCGAGCGTGGTGACCAGCGCTACTGACCACGTGCTCCAGACGACACAGATCTTGGCCAAACGCGAACCATACCCATCGACCCATCACGTCGGCTATTCGTACTCAATGCAGACATCAACTATTGCAACGCTCTCGTAGAGGAGAACGTTGGCAAATACTCCCGTTTTTTTTTTTTGTAATGTAACTGAAATGAAACTAAATTCGGCATGTTTTTTTTGTTGTTGTGGGGGGGGGCTCAACGACCTAATCATCCTCATGATCATTCCTTCATATTCTTCTCATACCACCGTGATCCGGATCCTCGATCATGCACATCTGCGCAATCAGATGGTGCTGACTCAGGCTGGCGTCTCGTAGCGGTACTGCTTGCTCTTCGTGACCCAGCCAGTGAGCCTTACGCGAGGGGTTAATTCGGATCAGAACCTCCTCCTCCCCAATCTCCTTCAATTCCTGTCTGCATTCACCTGCATCTTGGTGATGAAGCACGGCGAGAATAAAAAATGCCCACCCCACCCCCCCCCCCCCCCCCCCCCCCAAGGGAGGACAATGCCGAGATATCCAAAACCTTCACGAGTCGGCCATATTGCCGTTGCAACCATTTCCAGCCAGAGAGTGTCAGAGCCCGCAAATTCTGCCTTGGTGCGCCAATGGCACCTGGGATGTGCCACTCGGCCTCAAAACAAGGCGTCTCGTTGACGTCGCTGCATGAAGCATCCTCTTCAGCCCGCTACAAGAATTGAGCGGGGTTGGCTTGAAGGTAGGTGGATCGAAGAGGGTCGAAGGCGGTACAACATCTCGCATCACAATGAGTTCCGAGCTTCTACTCTGCTGCCCCTCTTCCTGGTCATTTGAATGCAACGGCGGGTGTCCGTGCTGCAGAATGGCGCAGACTCCAGTCCATTTGGTGGGGCCCGATGGCTTGCTACTGTCTTTGCTGCATGCTTTGCTGCTCCTGCTTTACGCTCGGCTCTCGCCCCAGCTGCATGCTTCTACGCTCCCCCACACAATCTTTCAGACAGACAGCGCTTCCATGTTTCACCAGCACCTCTATCTGTCCCTTCCAACATCGGCTCTCCCAGTCGGGCAAGGGAACCTCGACGTACCATCGGCAGAGGAAAAGTTCTCCCGGCGTCTGGCGCGGGAGGGGGCTACACGGAGCAGCAATCCCCTGTGACTTCAATTCCTGGTCCTTTTCCAGCAGAAGTGCAAACAAAGCAAGGGATGTACAGCATACGTAGGCCCAAATCTCATGCAGTGTGCCCTGAGAGTGTAAGTTGTCTTGCGATAGGCGACGTGAGTGCTGCGGCGTACATGCTATGTGCTCGCCATGGGGTGGAGTGAGGATTGAAGGACGGAAGTGCTGAGCCCCCATGACGGCATGACACGCACACATGTGATGCCATGATGCCAGCACGTGGACCCAAAACGTTGCCTCTGTGCAACCAGCGGGTTGCAACCTATGCTGGGCGACAATCTGGGCCAGTGGGGGGGCACACGAAGCAGAACCCACAGGTACCCAACTGGCCAACAGAAAATGCGGAACACAAGACCCGTGTGGGGGATCAACAGATACATAAAAACTCAAACGACACTCAATAATGCAACAGACATGTCTGGCCACAAGCGTAGTTATCCAGCTCTCGCCCAGGCCAGCCGCGCCATGTGTATCCAACTTCCTGGTATGCTGTGGTGAATTCTCAACCTTCGCATGCCCGCTCTTGCATCCCACTTCGCGGCGCCACCTCTCCGAATAGTGCCATCTCGAGCGGAGCCCGACCCACAGGAGGTCCGTCGGAGCCCCAGCACCACCATACTCCCGATCTCTGGGGGAAGCACGGCGGTCGTGCTGCCCCTGGGCTCCACAAGGCTTCTCAGCCTTGCCTCATCCGGATTTCTCCTGGGCTTCCCCATGGGCCTCGCATTGCGTCCACAACGCTTCCCAGCATGCCTTGCATCACCTGGGTTTCCGCAAGGTTCCTCACCTTGCCTCCGCAAAGCTTCCCAACCTTCTCCTCACTTCCCCACCGCAGGCGTGCTGGAGAGGGGGCCCCGCGAGGCGGGGCGGAAGCCCCCGAGGGCAAGAGATGGTGAATGGCCGGAAGGAGCGTGGCCAGCAAGAAGAAGGCGGGGGCCGGGAGCGGGAGAGGGGCCAGGAGGGGGGGGGGGGAAGAGCAGCGTGTGAGAATCTTCTCGCGCCCGTTCCATGTTCCTTACCTGTGGTCAATGCACTGCATGCTGTTGCATCGGCCATGTTGTCACGAAGGCCACCCCGCCCAGGTCGGCCTTCTTTCTCTGACCAGTGGTATGGCGCGGTGGCTCGATCATTAACATTGGCCCCGCGCAACAAAAAGGCTGCGAGAAGTGAAACGGTGCGCCTGCCCCCCCACCT